GCCGATTCGATCAGACACACTTCGGCAAATAACCGCGGAAAGCGTCGAGCAAGCGCCAAGCGGCGACGCGGCCGGGGGCTGCACGGGGGCGGCTCGGGCTCGGCAGCAGTGAGTTTCCTGCAGATAAGGGAAGACCTCGGCAATAATACCGTACCGCTCCGCGCCGGCGGGGGGCGGGGGCGGCGCCGCGGGAGGGGGTTGCACCTGGCGCTATTTCGGGCCACAGCCAGCAGGCAGCGGCAGTGGCGGCGCGTCCGCCGCCTCCTCCACCACCAGCCGCCAGGCGCCGGCCGGCTGCGGGACCAGCACCAGCCGCGCGCCGCCGCGGAGCAGGCCCTCGATGTCGCGGAGTCCCACCCGACCACGCAGCGAACGCCCGGCCGGCCGTCGGGTCGGGCAGGAAGCGCTCGCACGCACACCTGTGCTGCCCCGTCCGTGCCTTCCGGGCCGTCATGGGTCAGGCGGGTCTGGGCTGGGTGATCCGTTACTCAACGTCGTCGTATGAGACATGGCCCGCCAGATCGACGGGGGCGTCTAACTAAGTTACACACGGCCCAGGTGTCGCCGGTGGCCTGCCGCCCGAACGGTAGGCAGACCCGCGGCACCCGAACGCTGAGCGGGCCGGGCGGCGCCAGGGTGGGGCGCGCACCTTGCGGCGGCGGCTGCCCAGAGCAGGCAGGGCAGGGAGCGCGCTCAACGGCCCACATAGATAGGCGGCGCGGCGGGGGCGGGGCGCCTCCGGAGAGGTCAAGGCAGCCGCTATCTCCCGAGCTTCATCACCGCGGAGGCAGGGGGTAGGGCGGGGGGTGAACACCTGGGGGAGGGACGGATGCACCGCCACCGCCGCCGCTCCGGTTCCGCCTCCGCCCGCGGCGAGACATCGGTGACGGGGCGGGACGGGGCGGGACACGGCGGGGCACGGCGGGGCGGGGCCGTGCAGCTGACAGAATTATCAATACGTAACGGGCCGCGGGGTCAGAGCGACCCTCCCTGGACACGCCCTGCCAATCCCTCCCGCCTCTGGTCCTTCCCTCCGCGGCCCGACCAGTCAGTCCGTCCGGCAGGCCCAGCAGTCGATACGCCACATCGATCCGCGCCGCGCCAGCAGGCGGGCAGAGGGCAGGCGACGGGGCGGACTACACAACAAGAAGGGCGGCGGGCTGGACTGGGCGGACCGACAGCAGAACGACAGCAGTCCATTACCCCTCCCCCAACCCTACGCGCGCCCACCGCCTGGACGACGCAAGGACAGCGGCAAAATGTCAACAACGTCAGTCAAACGTACGCTTCAGGTTGGACTGATGTAAGGGCTGTGTTGCCGCTACCCCCCACCCCCCCTTCCCTTATAACAGCCGCGGGGGTTGGAGGAGTCGTGAGCGAGGCAAGCGGCTCCAGCTGCCGCTGCTGCCCCCACCGACGTATACACCGTCCTCCCCCCACCGCCGCATCCGGGGGAAGAGTGCGCAGTGCGCATACATAGTCTGCTGCACCCCCACCCCTTCGTTCTTACCCCCCGTGCTCCACTTTCCAGTTTCCAGGCCTGACAGGAAGGGGTAGGGGCGGTGAGGAGGGATGGTCTGAGGGTAGCGAAACGATGATGATTCGCGGGTTTTCAGACAAAGGGATGCAGATGAAAGGCCTGCAATCGCGGCGGGCGCGAAGCATCATTGCACGGGCGGGATAGAGGGGGAAAAGGGGGGGGGCACATGGAGGGGGCCAGCAGCTCGCGCCCCAGCGCATCCCGCTCTCACCGGCGGCGGCTCAGGCCTGGGCCCACAAGGCGACCACTTTGGCAGACTGCTCTCCACACAGGGCTACACCGGCCGCACCCGGTACAGCCAGTGGAGTCGGTTTTTTGTTCCGCCCCGCCCGGCTCCACCTCTGCCGGCCACGCCCCGCCACAGCCTCCTCGTGGGCCGGCCGAGTGCCAAGTAGCACGACGCCCCGACCCGCCCCGGCCCAGGACAGTCTCGGGCGTCGGCCCTGGCGTCCGCGAAGGGCGGAGCGGCGGAGAGCCCTCCGGGGGCGGGGTTACCCTGACTGAGGGGAGGCCCTGCCGCACGGGGTGGCACCCTCGGGGAGCACCCACCTGGGCCGGCGGCGGGCGCGGCGACGGGAGGGCCGCGGCAGCGCACTGCAACGCGGCAATTAGAGGCCCAGCGTCAAGCCACCCACAGGAGGGTCGCGAGGGGGGCGTCCGCGAGCCACGAAGACCACGGCAGACCGCGCACCCCGCCGGCCACAGGGACACCGGGGACACCACCAGAGGGGCGGCGGCCGAGGAGGGGGAGGCGCGCGCGCGTGTTCACGCGGCCGCGTGCGCGACGAGCCGGCGTGCGGGGGAGGGACGCACGCCCAATCAATGGCGCACAGCAACAGTGGCGCGCCCGCACAGCTTATCATCGCCCCAACGCCCAGAAATACAACAACGGCGATAACCTGCCGCCGCCTCCAAGGCGTTAAATAACTCCCGATACCGAGCGGGGCGGGGCGGGGGGCACCGTGCGCCAACGCAGCAGCGGCCGTGTTCAACAGGACGCCCCGCCCCGTCCTACCTCACCCTCCCCCATCAGCCCGGTCGGCCGCGAAACCCCACAAAAGCGCTGCTGCCATCACCCACCCCCCTCCCGGCCGCACGCAAATTAAGCGAGACACGGTATCGCGTCGCCAAGCCCGCCCCTCCTCCTCCAACGCACCCCGCCACGCACCCTACACGTGCAGCGCCTCGCCACCCCCGTGGTGGCCGCGGGGGTGCGGCACGCCGGCGGGCTGACAACGAGCGTGAGCACGCCGCCGCCCACGCTTGACTTTGAGCCTCGGCCGCGAGCCTTGGCGCTGACCGGGGCGTGGCGTGGCGTGCCCGCGGTCATGGAACGTTGCGCAATAGCGCCCACGGGCAACGCAGAGTGCAGCAGCAATGGCGCCGGCCAGTGCAGCGGATGGCAACACGGGGTGCAAGCCAAACATTCGTTTTTCCCGCGTAGGATGACGCCGACGCCCATGCAAAACAACCGCGAATTCGTCTGCTACGTGGCATCGAGAACGACAAAGTCTTGTGTACCTCGTCTCGACAAACACGAATCGATGTGACTGTGATGTAAATGAAGGTGAATGGGCATCGTCCAACCGACAGGCCTTATAAGTGACAGAAGGCCCCGCCACTCGGCCCGCTCTACCTCCACTCTAGGCGCCCATAGCAGAAATGGATGTGAATCAGCCTTCGACAAGCCAGACGGAATAACGAGGCGCCGTGGGGCCGCCGGGCGCCGCCATTCAAAATGCCGCGCCAAAATAAAGCGAGTGGTCGCTCCCAAGGTCATCCCCCTCCCCTTTTCCCGGGTCCGCCCCGAACCACTCTCCCGCCTCTTGTCCGAAGTCGAAGTCCGAAACATGCCGTACCGATGACAGGGTCGGCTGCCAGCTGCCGGCTCTCGACCGACACAGGCCGCAGACACGGACCGAGGCTGGGGACAGGAAGAGCCGCGGGCCGAACGGCCGTAATTCGTCTCCCTCCAACGGCCGGAATGCAAAGGCCTTATTCTTTCGTAAAGCAGGGCGCCATCGCTGCACGTGACAACTCGACGGGCGCACAGCGGCAGCCATTGGGCAGCCCGCCCAGTCGCTGAAGTATTAATTAAGGAGGTAGCTAGGGGGAGGGTTGCGAAGGAGGGCGAGAGGAGTCAGGGGAGAGGGGAGGGGAGGGGGGGCGGAGCGGGGAGGGGAGCGGCCGCGCGGGAAAACAAAACAAGCCTCCAGCACGGAGGACTTCCCCCCTCCCGAGCGCCCTTCCTTCCAGCACGCCACAAAGAGGCGACAATAGCGGGGGAGAAAAAAGGAATGAGAAAGCTAGAGGTAGGTAGGGGGTAGATGGATATACAGATGAGGGAGTGGACGGGGTAAAGGACGGGGGAGGGGCTGGAGGAAGGGAACGGGTAAGGAAGGTTGGAAGTGGGAAGAAAGCAAACGCGAAATAGAAGGGTTGGTGGGAGGGCGAAGTGGGAGGACGCTGGCAAACAGCAACGAAGGTGGTATGACACCTGCGTCAGAGGGGTCGCTCGACAGCAGCCGCCGGGTCCGAAGTGGCGCACAAGGTTCAAGCACCCCCGCTGGTGCCCCAGGGGGTGCAGAGGGGCCCTGCACAGGGGGCGGCAATCAAGCCCCGACCTCCAGGGCCTCCAGCAAGCAGCCCTGTCTGCCGCTTCCGCCCCGTCTTCTCCAGCCGCACGCGCGCCCGCCATTCTCCAGCAACAAAGGAATCGCTCCGGCAGCGCCGCCCCGCGGCCGGAAGGCGCACCGCGGCGCGCGACACGCAGCAGGCAGGCCCACCCCTCCCGCCCCTCGGCTCCTGTAAACAACACACACACACACCCTCCAGGGCACGGCGTCGTGGAGGCCCACACCGCCCCCGGCCGCCAGGACCCTCCACTAGCGCGGATATATACTCACAGTCCTCCCTCTTGAGCTCCATGGTGGTGGCGGCGGCGGACGCGGGCGCGCGGACACCTCAGGCGAACCGAATGGAATGTCTGACACGCGTGCAGCGAGAGTGCGCCTGGCTAATCACGCACGCCTGCGGCACGCCTGAGCCCTGTCGCGAGGAGGGCTGGTCGGAGAGTGGACAGAGACAGGCCGCGCCAGGAGTCCCGCGCGCATTGGCAGAGTCCCAGTCCCAATGCTAAATTTACCCGCCAGCCAGGCAGCCAGTCAGGCAGGCGTGCACAGAGAGGGCTGCTGGCCGCAAGGGCTACCGGGGTGGGGTGCGCGGGGGCTCGCAGAGGGAGGACACCACGTCCTAGAGCGCTCGACGCCTCGCCAGCACTGCGTTAGCTCTGCGCCCGCCCGCGCGCGCGCGCCGCGACGCGCAGCCCGAGCGTCGTCCCGAGCCGAGCGTCGTCCCCCCCGAGCGAGGCGTCCGTCCAGCCGAACGCGCGCGCGCGCCGCCTCGGGTCGGGGCCCGAGCGAACGCGAAGTCGGGGGGCGTCCAGTCCAGCAGCGCGATCAATACAGCCGCAGCACGCCCGCGCCCGCCGCGGGACAGGACACCCCGCGGCGCCCCGCGGCCCCGGGAGCATCCAGGGCCCGCGAGGTTGGCGACGCCCGCCACAGAGGGCGCCACGCGCACCGGCCAGAGGCGGCGCCAGCTTCCGCACAGCGCCGCGGCGGGGCGCCAGCCTACAGGCGCCACCCCCGCCGCCGCCACCGCGCCGACACATAGGCAGCCCGCCAGCCCACCGTCCGGCCCGCAAAGGTCAGCGACCCGAGCTCCAATCCGTGACCCAAAACATTGATCACGGCAGCAGCATCCCTGCGGCTGGAGCCGGCCCGAACCGGCTCAGGGGGCGCAGGGGCGGCCAGGTCGCGGCGGCAGCGGCAGTAGCGACAGGGAAGCGAAAACAAACGTCCTTCCCCTGGCGGCCGCCAATAAACCCCCGCAGTGATAACCCCGGCGGCGGCCCAATAAACCAGGCCGTAAAAACAGAACAGGGCGCAGGGCGCCCAGGGCAGGGCGGCCCAAGGACGGGCGCCACTGGCCGAGGGGTTGAGAAGGTCCGAGGGGCCGGGGAGTCCTTGACGAGAGTGGTGGTCCGTCCGGGGCCGCCCGAGGGGCGGGTGAGAGGCGCCTTAATCGAGGCGAGGCTAGGGTGGAGAGAGAGGGGCAGGGGAGGGGAAATCAACAGCCCCTTCGCAGGGATTTGCCCCAGAGTGGGCTGGGGGCGCCGGACGGGGACGGGGCGGGGCCGGGGAGATGAAGGGTAGCACTAACTCGCGGTGCCCGTCCGGGAGGCACGGTCCCACCCCTTCTCGAGCGCTTAACAAGAATCGTGTGCCGCATTTAGACGCCGAAATTTTGCAACCCTTCCTGCTGAGGACGCCCATAAAGCCCGGTGTCCCCGGCTGGGAATGACTCGAGCGAGCGAGCAGCATGGCACCGACCTACGTGCAGCACTGGTCCAGGACGCCGCCAAGCACCCTCACGAGCTCGTCGTAGTCCTTGCGGTTGCCTTCTACGGCCCAGAGGAAGCGCTCGAGCCGCATTTTGCTGCCGCGGCGCCGGCAGGACGACGCGCCGCCGGGGCGGGTGTCGTCGCCCAGGAGCTGAGGCTCGGCGGCGTCGCAGCAGGCGCCCGCGGGCGAGCGTCGGCACGCCAGGCGCCACAGCACCAAGACCAGCACCAGCGCCACCAGCGCTGGGGTCAGCTGCCACGGCTGCACCTGCAGCTGCAGGCGCGGGCCCCAGCCCCGGCCCGCCGCCTGCTGGCCCGCCTGGCCCCAGCCCATTTGCCGCCACTGCCGTCGCCGACCCGCCCAGCCCCACCCATTGTTGGAAGTTGTCGCGAGTTGCTATTCGCAGTCCAGTCCATATTATCCGCAGTCAGAGGCAGGCGATCGGTCAAATATATATGTGGTCTTTACCGCGCCACCACCCCGTTGGGAAAAGTTATTACGGAGTGAATAGGTACTTATTGGTGTTAAAAGTTATTGTTGTTAGGAACTTACCCTTGGGGTGCATCTTCTGTGGGTTGAACCAGATCGCTGAAACAGAAGCAAGGTTAAGACTGTTAGTGTTAGGTCACACAACAATAGCAGCAGTAATTAAACCAGTGGTTATATTGGCAAAATGTATTTGGAGGTGAGATTTATATTCACATAAGCATACCGTGCACAGAAAAAATATCAAGCTAGAGAAATCAGAAAATTGGGACGGCTCTGATCACCAACCCAGTATATAAGAACAGCAAATTTGTCAAACGCTGTGTACTTGATTCAAGAAAAGCAAGTCCTAAGACCACACACATTTACGGCACCTGAATATTCTATGCCGCGTACTTTTCAGTGTGGCCCTTCGCATCTAATTGGCCGCTTATCTCGTGTAAAGGAAAGTGCGAGAGAATGTGTGGTATATTCCGCGGGGAGTGAGCGAGACGGAGAGCAGGGGAAAAGATGAGACAGTCAGAGAAGGCCTCCGCTCGCGGGGACTTTGTGCGCAGGCAGTCTGGGTCCCAAGTTCATCCTCATCACCATTCCACTGCGAGACATTCACATTCGTATAGCCCGGCGAGACGAAAAGAAACCGCGCAGCGACGAAGCAGTGTTTCTTTATTCGTCTACGAGTATAGTAATCAGATTCGCTTAGATGAGGTTTGGAAATCGAACCCTTGCCGTCGCTAGGCGGCGCTGAAAGGGTGGTGCTGGGAACCGACGCCCAGCCCTTCCTCTCACCCCTTGTTTACTCAAAGGCTCCATAGTTTGTCTCCATAGTTTGTCTCGTGGCTCTCTGTATTTCTCTAATGTTAAATAATAATGAGGGAGAAAATAAACGCGATGAAGAGAATCGATAACCGATTCAAATTTTACCAAGATCGTCTATCAATTTCACTGACTTATGCCCACCCTGGACTTGCCAGGTTTGTGGGAACCCTGCAACTCCTTTCTCCCGTCGCCGTTACAGATAAATGACAATCACGTCGACGCATTTTCTCTGCAGAGTCAACAGACGGAGGCAGCGGCGGGGGCGACAGGAGCCGCCCGTCTGGAACGGCCTGATAAAGCGATAAAGGCCAACGCTCTCGACCCGTCATGACAAGCGAGGATACAACCAGTTTGTTTTTTTCGAAAAATCCAAGAGAAAATCCCACTTGAGGTCGTCGGGGCGATAGCAATCGCCCGTGGTTACTATACTACTTGAGGCTTTGCGTTGCGGTCACATGCCTGCCCGGAAACCATTGCACAATATGTCTCAGAGATGGTCATGGTTCATGGTGATCGTGATCTCTCATCGTGAGTCGCCATGGGACGGTCCCGAAGCCCTCCAAACCAATCGCTCTGATCGGGCTCCTTATCACCCGAGTGGTCGCCACCGCACACCTGTCACCCAAGTGCAAAGGCTACACGGCTACACTCAAACCGAGGCGACTAAAACTGTTCGGAGCCGGCTTAATCAGAAATTATTTGATAAAAAGATTTTGAATAGAAAGAAACCTCTTTTTTTTTTTCGCGAAGTGATACCCGCTTGCAATACCGCGACCTTGGGAGATCATGCGGTAACACGGACGTCGGAACAAACGCCGTGCGTGCGTCGTCGACGGCACCAGAGTGTCAACCGCGACCGTCCCCTCCGGTCCCCTCCCCCTTCACTTCCACCACACCACCTTCCCTCTGATCTCTTCGCCACTTTCACCATGTTTCGCCGTCTTGCCCTTTGAACCCACCGGCAACGGTGCACTAGGCGTGGAATATAATTATTCCAAGTGGGGCATCACCGCCCTTTCTTTTCCTTCTTCGAACAACACCGGCACCGGTAGAGCTGTCAATGTACCTGCCCGCCCCGCCCCGCCCGAAGACGCAGGAGTAAGGTTAGGTCGGCCGAGACTCGAGCCTCCGGCGGACGGACGGCCCGTCCTGTCAGCTGACTGGAGGGGAGTCCCGTTGGCCGGAGCGTCAGTACACACAAGACGACCCTTCCTGCGCCCCTCGAGTTTAACGGTTCAAACACGGAAGTCAGCCTTTTGCATCGGAATCACTCCCGTGACGCGACAACTAAACGAGAGGACTCAAGGTCGCCCCCGGCTTTCATTTGTGGTGTACATGTATGCGGGTCCTGGCTGAGCCACGGGCCGGTGGACCGGGCCAGAGGCAGCTCACCGGGGCACATGACGGACATGCACAGGCTGCATGGCGCGTTGGGGTCCCGGGTGCACGCCGAGGACGACGACGGCTTCGACGACGAGCTGGAGTCCGCGAACACAGAGTCGATCACGGACTTGGCGGCAACCACGACATCCTCGCGGGTCGGCGGAGCGGATGGGGTAAAGTCCATTGTGTACGGGGAGCTGGGGGACACTGATGGAACTGACTGGCTGCTGCTGCTGGTCGCGGCACTCACACTCACTCACACACACGCACACGGCCGGCCGAGCGCACTGCCACTCCAGAGTACTACGACTGGCACTGACTCGGCACTCGGCTCGGCCCGGCGGCCCCCGAAGAGGGCCTCCCCGACCGCCAAGGCACGACACGGCAAGAACGTCTCATTCGACCGACGGGCGGACAGACAGACGGTCGGGCGGACGGGAGAGTGAGAGAGAGAGAGAGAGGGATAGATAAGGCAGAGGAGAGGGGGGGGGGGTCTGAAGAGGTCCTGCCTAGAGAGGTCACACCGGCCAGAAGCGAATTAGAGAGACCCGAGGAAAGGTATGGAATTAGACTTGAAGAGAGCGACGAGGCGGCCAGTCAGGCAGAGGCAGCGTGATAAGCTATTACGTAAGCCGTCCGGAGGGGCGCGGCTACACGCCACGGGTCATCCTCCAGCTCGCGGCCAGGCCGGCCAGGAGCACAGCGCCCAGCGGCACACCGCCACACCGTGCCCGCGGCCCGGCTTGGTCGCATCTGCTGCGTAGTGCTTCGCGCCCAAGGCCGCCTCGGCGCGAGCCCAGCCGAGTGACCTGGAAAGCCGAGCGCGCCGTCTACCGTTGCGCACAGTGGGCAGAAAACAATCGGCACCAGGTCGCTGACGGCGCACACACCTCAAGTGGGCCACGACAACGGCGGTCAGCGGCCGCCCCCCGCGCCCACAGAGCCGTCCTGTAGGCCTTCCTCATCCGGACGCGGGGCGGATTCGGATCAGGCCCAGCGCTGCAGACTTGCCATCCAATTCGAAACATCCCGCGCCCGCGTCCTGCGTCCGGCCCCGGCCGCGCAAGGCCAAGGTGAGGCGAGGGCGATGGGCTGCCTGGCCGCCCGGCGCAGCCAGCCGCGGCCGCGGGCGGGCGCCGCGAGCAGGATGGGTTGCCAGCCCCGCCGGGCGCATCAGCACTACGGCAGTCAGCAGTCAGCTGGCGCCGGCCCGGGCAGTCTTCGCTCTGCGCCGCCCGGTTAGGCAGGCGGGCCGCCCACGTGACCACAGCATGACCGCCGTTCACGGCACAATGTCCTCGGGCCCGCGCTGCCCCGGCGCTGGCCCGGCGCTGCCCGGTGCGATGCGATCCACATCCGGGCCGTGATCAATATCAGCCTAGCTGCCCCGGGCCGGGCCCCGGCTGGGGCTGCAGGCCCGGGCCACTTGTGCCGCAGTGACGGCCGCACTGCAGCCCTGGCGCCACCCGGCCCCCGGTCCCTGGAGTCCAGTCCACAGCCACGCCCCCAGCAGGCTCCAGCCGCGTCGAGAACTCTCCCATCGGAAGGTATCTGTACCGTACCGGCCCTCGCTGCGGGTCAACTGAGGATCTATGGTCACGCGGTCCACATCCCTATCAGATCGCAAGTCGAAAAAGAATTAAATCAGCGCATATTCGTGGTGGTGAAGAAAAGGGGGGAAAGCGGCCGACGCGCGTCAGCTGTGAGATGTGAGCCGCACTAACTCAGGTGCATATACTTCTGCTCCACCGCGGCCCCAATGTCTTCCATCGCGGAACCGACGTAATATTTAGAGCGGCTCTCCACGTGGTGGGGTGTGGCGAGGTGCGGCGGGGCGCCGCCGGGCGGCGGCACCACCTGGTGCTAACGAGAGAAACGCTCGGTTGGGCGAGGTAGGGGACTCGAGGGCGAGGCCGCGGAGTAGCGCCGCGCGGTACGGGCCTGGTGCACCTGCACCCGTGGAGGAGAGAGGGAGCGGGCGCTCGGCGCGGTCAGGAGGACAACCTTGGCGGCCGAAGAAGGAGCAGGAAGATTCCCCTCCAGACGGTAATCTGCGAAAAGGCGCGCGGACGGCCATACCATACAGTGAAGGGAAGGGAATCGATGAGCAGCCTAACCAGGGCATGTCGCGCTGGAGACGGGCCAGGCAGGCAGGCGCCGCGAAAGGGCATTCACACTACCGCGTCCGGGGGAAAACTGGGGAGGGGGAAGTTTTTATTGTAACGAAAAGATAAAAAAAGACAACAACAACGAAATATTCGGCACAGAAAGGGCAATGAGCAGCGGCGCTGCTGCGTCACCGAGCGCCACAAGAGCGCACGCCTGTCCAGCGCCAAGGCGGGGCGGGCGGCGGGGACGCCGGGGTTGTACCCCAAAATGACAATACGTGTCGTGCAATTTTGCAAAATGCGCCTCGGAGCCGCACGACTGCGCCCGGTGTCGCACACTGGCCACCGCCAGAGCCAAGGTCCTCGCGCAGGGAACTTCCGTAGTTTATATATGACCGACCTGGACTGGAAGCGCGCGGCGCACTGCGCAAGAGGGGCAATTATCGCGTGTGTATTTTGTGTGTCAGAAACGTTGTCGTCGAGCCTCCTAAAACTGTATGCCAGCTGGCCGGTTAACCCCGAGCACTGCTGTAGCTGTGCCGCTGTGCTGTGTGCGCCACAATCCTACGAGCGAGCGGGTTGCCTTCTAGCTCGGGGCCACCGAGTTCAGGGGCGACAGGTAAAACCCGCCCGCGGGTAAGAATGCGCAGCAGCACAACGACAGCGGTCCACGGGGGGTCAATAAACCACCTGGTACAATATCTGCGCAAAATACCATGCGATCACGAACGATAGCAGTACGTACACACATGATTATAATAAAAGGTCCCCCCTCCCCTATTTTACACCTTCGCGTTTCGTGCGCAGGGAATGACCTGAAAACATGACCGCGAGCACGCAGTGTCTCGGTGTTTATGCCTTTTGTGGCGGGAAACGGGGCGCCAGCCACCGCCCCAACAGGACATGGTGGGCAATGTCACGTGGCACACGGCGACACGTAGGCGCGCCCCCGCACGG